CAAAATTTGGCCGAAGATAAAAATAACTTCGTATTCTTGTATTAATAAGAATTTTAGTTTCAGTGCCGCCAGCTTGGCGAAGAATGAGTAAAGTAAAAATTTATTTTCTCTTATTCATTTTATGGTAAATTGTAAAAATCATATGTATTAAAAATTTTGTAAATGTACGTAAATACTTGAAAGTTATGTAAAAGTAGAATTTAGTCTAGAAGCATAAAATTTTAGATGCTAAAAGTGTAAATGCTTAAAAGCAATGAATTCAAAATTTAAGTATTAAACTGTAGATAAAATCATGCTTTAGAGCGAAAGCCTGCATGTCTAAAGATGAATGAGGGGGAAGTTAGATTGAATGTGTTTTGTAGGGTTCTCCACCTACACTTGAATTTTTAAGAATGTTAAAGTAGCTCATCGAGTTGTAGAATGTCGAGTAAGGTGTGTCTATTTGGTCGTTGAATTCTAACAAATCATGGTGGTTAGGGACTAAACACGAATGATGTTGTAATAATGTTGTAAGACTAAAACACGAATATTCCCGTATGACACCACACATGGTGGAGAGCCAGGGTAAAGTTAAATTAATGTTTGAATAATTGAATGAATGTGAATTAAGCAGTAACTAAGAAAAACGAATCGTTTAAAAACAAAAATTTATTCAGTGTCAAGAAAGTGTAAATTATAATGTATTTAGGAAGATACTGATACTTATTCCTTCCAGATGCTGGAAGGAAAAGAACAAGATTGATTGATGAAGTCCAGGAAAAGTTGCTGTAAGAAGAGAGAGACTTATATAAGTATCGACAGAAATTTAGTATACATTTTGTTACATAAGATTTTTTTTGTGTAAACGAGGCTCTTCGCCAGTTAGTTCAGAATTGTAGAAACTTTACAACAGGTCGTTTGTAGGACCTGCTTCCAAGTTTTCCAAATTCTGGCAGCGGCAAATGTAGGGTTTATATTTATTTTAACTAACATTTATTTTAAGTTTAAACTATCTTTCCTGTCAAGCCTTACTTTCCCCTGGAACTGCCAATGCCAGAAGTATGTAAATTTTAGTAGAACGCGCAAGGATTCAAATTATCAGCGGAAGTATTCTGAGTTAAATAGAAAAGGAAACGAGTTCGAGTGTGCTGTTCTTACTTCACGAGCGCGGAGGTAGTTAGCCAGAAATTGAAGAACCCCGCGTTCGGTGTGTGCTTGGCCTGTGTTGCAATTTTGAGCTTCAAGTTTGCTGAATTAGCAGCGGTATTGTAAAACGCGGTGAGGTTAGTTATTTTAGAGAGCCTCGTAGTTAGAGTATTGTATTATTTTCTTTTCAGGTTATTATTTTTTATTTTACCGCCGGGTTGGCGTAGTTTGTGAGCGTCAAGAGCACGCAATTGTAATTTCTTAAGTTGAATAAAAAGGGACTTAAACCCTTAGCAAGACTCTGTCTATTTTCCAGTTTCAACAGTCACCTCTTGGTTGCGTGCAGGTTGGAGGCGCCCAACTCTACAAACTAAAGAAAGCATTAAGACAGTTTTAGATAGCTTTAAGAACAATGCATTACAAAATTGTGTAAACAGTAAAATGGATCTGCTCAATTGAAATTCTGTAGTCGATTATTAAAGATTACAGAAACGTGGTGAACAAGAAAAATGTTGAGAATGGGGAAAATCGGTTTGGTTTGGTTTGCTTGATTATGGCAAGTAATGCGGGGGCTATAAGCCTAAAGGAAGAATTGCTTTATTGGAGGAGGTTTCGAAGGGAAACTGTTAATCATGATACACGCGAAACCGCTCGTAATCACGTTATCATCTTGTAATCATAAGGCAAAACCACCAAAACCAATTCAGGCCGACCGAAGGGATAATGAAATCGGCTCGTTTCACCAATCGTTGACAATATCACTGGGGCATTGATGGGCGATATAAATTGTTTAACTAATTAAAATGTCACGGAGCTTGATTTTTGCAGCCGAGAGTGAACAGTGTCAAATGGCTGAATGATCAAATTGAGGAATTTTACAAATGATGTAATTCATAAAGTTTTTTTATGAAGTTCCGCAATCTCCCATTTACGAAATTATTTCAGAAACCTTCAAAGTTGGAATTTTTAAGTGGAAAAATCATGCATCAAATCAGGAGGACAAAGAGGCAGTAACAGCTTGTTCGCAAGGGCTGGTAACCGAGCTCCCGAGTTTTACGAGAAGATATTTTTTTTTGTGTGCTTTACAATTTTTAATGAAGCTGTTTTAAGTTTTTGCGCATTTTTGTCTTGCAGCGGAGTGAGAACTGAATTAAATGAATGAGAAATCTATCTATAATGAAATTCGAGGAAATAAGTTTAAATGAAGTGCAGCAAAAAGTTAATGTAATTTAACAGGCCGTATAAGGAAGTCATGTGGTATACTCATCAGATTTTTTTAAAGGTGAGTTGCATTTAAAAAAACTATTACTAAGTAAAGCTTAAAATTGTTGAAAAACGGTATAAGCAGATAAGTAACCAAATACATATTATGAAAATAGTGACTGAAGATAATTAGTGGCATTTTCTAACTTTAAAAATCAAAGTATAATGCCAACAGTAAAGGATAAAGATACAGTAATAAAGAAAAATGAATCGAGGATTACTACCATTTAATCTATTAAGGCAGGGGTACGCAACCTTTTTGTCCCTTAGAGCACATTCTAGAATATCTGTTGGACAGTGTAATATATGTACATAAAGAGAAAGAAATCGGTCGCATTTCTCTTTGCGCTGGTAGTATCTGTTGGACGTAATTTCTATTTCATTAAAAATGAGAAAACGTTCATAATGTGTGGTGAAAAATAAATTTTATACCCCATAACATCGTAAACTGTATATAAATCAGAAAGATTATAGCAATACCTTTTCGAACAGAAAACGGATGGAAAACTTTATTAATACTTCTAACAAGAAGTTTGATAAAAGATTAATGGAACAGAAATGATTTTAAGAAGTATTTCAGTAAAAGACACCTGTATGATAAGAATGCGTTAGGTTTTGTAGCTGAAAGCATTTTTTATTCTAAAAGCAGAAACTAAAACTGGTGTAATATTGTGTAGATGGTACAGGAAAAAAATTCTTGAGAAATTCTGATTCCATCTTCAATCTTAATAAAAGCATAGTTTGGAAATAGACAATTTATTGTATTTTAACATAATATTATATAATAATTTTGAATATATTTAAAGTGCTATGAATTTAATATTACTTCAGATTCAATCGCATGAAAGATAAAGCAATTATTTAGCTCATAAAATACTTCTTTTTAGCGTGACACCTAGCGTGAAATTACACCTAGCGTGAAATTTAAGGTTCCAGTAGTAATCAGTAATGAAGAAGACATCGCAGCGTCTTTAATATTTACATTTTTATAAATTTTATGTACTGAAGACCTTTTACTTGTTCTTCATTTAAATAACTTAAGAGTATTTTTTAAACTCATCTGAATAATTGTGTAGGTAATGAAACTTAATACTTGTATTACAATTAAGAGAAATGAAGAGTACGTTCTGTGCTAATTAGGAATAGTTTTCTATCTTACATTTGCAAAGAAAGTTTACGACATTTAAAAGAACAAGAACCCTGCATGAGATAAAAGCATTGTCATCATATTTATGAAAATGTGAAATTCTTCTAAGTTTCCTTATTCCGAGGACTTGTTGATTACTTTTTTATGCTATTCGCCAACTCATGCAATAAAACATTAGAGCACTTACTATCACTAATCTAAGATTTCGCTGATTATTTCATTAGCCCCTGTTTCAAATGTAATGAAAGTGACTTTATTTAGTTTCTGTCCACTAAAGATTATTAACTTATATTTTGTTCTCCTAGTAGTACAATTTCGCTTTAAAATCAATTTTTTGAAATTAATTGATCACATTTTTACTATGTTTTCTCAAAAACATAATAAGCTTGGCTACTTTGTATACCTATTTTGTAAACCAGGTAAAACCCTCTTCATTTAAGTCTACGTAAGTCATCCACTTACTTTATTATTTATATTACGATATTTATTTTTATTTTTATTTTAAGAATTACACTGAATCGACTGATACATTTCTTTCGTATTAATAGAATGACCAATTGGAATTAATTTTATTTCTTGCTGCTACGGAAAAGGACAGTTAATTACATTTGGAATTATATGCATATATTAGCATCTAAGACAACTATTATGCTGTATTTCTAAAACTAAAGCCGATGACCAAATTGATAGAAATTTTGAATCAGCATCCAGGATACAGAAAATAGTTTATTTTCCCCTAGAATGCAAGAAAAATCTTTTTCTGTTGATTAGTAATAGAACTGCTCCTTTTCTCATTCTTTTTGTTAGTTATTATCATATTTATAACGAAAGTTTTCATTATTTCAAAAATTTTATCAAAATCTTCTAAAATGTGAATTAGTAGTCTAATTACTTAAGTTAATTACTATGACATCATGTAATGCTATGTCTTTACAATCTGCATAATCATAAACAGGATGTTATCACAGCAAATACCGGATAAAGTGATATTTAGAACTCGTATAAGAGTTTTCCTTTAAAGAAACCAAATACCTTTCAGAAATCAAGCTGTAATTTTTATTTCCTTTCTACATAATAATACTACACTTATAACTGTTGATAGATTTGTGTAAAATGATGTTAAATTGAGAAGTTGATATCGAATGTTAGTGAAACTGCTGTTTATGGAAAAGGAATCATAGTTTTAAAACCGAAAAATAATATATTCTTACTTGCGAAGCTCTAATATGGATAACTGATGTATGTGCAAGCATCAAATATAATTAAAACTGTATGTTGCGAAAACTTCAGAGTCTCTATTTGAAAATTAAAAGCTACACCCCATTTATATCATAAATCTAATGCTTTTAAAAGTGTACATGATTTTTAGAACTGTATAATTTCACAAAACGGAATTTGTGGTAATTTAAAATGGTTGACAAATAAAGTACACACACACATAAAAAGTAAGGCATCAGAACTAAAATACATCATTTTTCTAAATTTTTATTATTTATTTCTACAAAACTTTCGCTTTATTCCAGCTTACCAGCAGCCAGCGCAACAAAAATTATAATTAAAGGCTATTATGTAGTAAAATGTAAACAGAAGAGATATTATAGAGGTAATTATCTCAGAAAATAAGAAAATTTTTATGACTTGACTACTGGAAACTTATACAAATAAAGAAATATTTCTTTAAATCAATAAAAAGTTAATACACATATTTTTTATTTCGTTAATAATTAAATTTAATGAGGAATCTGTTTATAGACAGAATGTAGCGTGCTGATACAAATTTTATTAGACACTTCATCTATAAAATCATATAAAGAATTAGAATAATATGATTGCAAACAGACCAATGAAGTAAAGTACAAATGACAGCAACATAAAACGTAAATAAGAGTTAAAGGAAAAATTTTCTGGTTTAAATGATATGTAAATTTGAGAATACCTTGCTCATAGAAATTACATAAGTTAGCATATCAAAGATAAATTAAGAACGTGTGTAAGTAATATATGAATTTCAATAACTGAGTGTTCAAAAATCAACAATAGGTTTATGAATATGCACAAAAGTACAATGTATACATACGCAAGATACATTTATTTTAGTAAAATATCTTGTTAAAGAAATCCATAAACATGATGAAGTTACAAATCGAGCACATAAATAGAAAAGAAGTTTAGGTACCAAAAATTATTTCCTACGATGTTCAATGTAAGTTTTTGTTTCTTTTATAATCAAATGTAACTTAAGTACTTTTTTAAATGCTAATTTAAAATATATTTCATTGCTACGTAGCTTAAAATAGCAGCAGATATGTTTCTGATATGTATTCATTTCTGAAACTCAAAAAATAAATAAACAACGTTTGAAAAAATCCTAATTGTTCTATGCAATAAATAATCTTGATAATACAATTAATGAGTTATACGTATATAATTTTCCTACGAAGCTGAAAGTTTTAGTTAAGCAAAAGTTTTCTATCTGATTAATGGATTTATATAAAAATATGTAATTTTAGTAATTTAATTTTATTACATGTAGAGATAGATAAATTATAAGGCATAACTGATAAGAAATGTGACGGTTAAGGTGTTAAAATAAAACATAGTATTCAAAAGGCATAGTTATCATTTTTATTTATCACCACTAACTAGTAAAAATGATGGTCTCGCAATAACCTTCTGACAACCCCACTTACACATTTCTAATATTTATACAATAAATAAAGTTTGGAACCACATATTTATGTACTCAAAGCAAAGCCAACATCAAGACGCCAGATACAAAACCAATAATTGAGGATATTAACAGCTACGAATTATCTCGAGCTCTGTATCAAGCCGAAGTGATAAGCATAATCGAACAAAATAGCCAAAAATATCCATAATCATTCAGAATTATTCTCTGATGAATACCTGAAAGTGTAGTTGAAAACCATTCAAGAATGCAACGATTACACACAGCCTTATTCTCACAATGATGGATTAGTACTCACGATGGATTCTCACGATGATGGAAGTTTGCACAGGCATTACCGTATAAAGTGATTAATTTTGACCGAAGAGAGAATGAAATATGCAAGCGTGAAAAATGAGAAGTGAAACATCAAGAATAGCACTGTTGAAAAAGCAAGCTATGCACAGGCAAAATGTATATATTAAGTGATATTTTATATATCCATGCTACTTGGTGCTTTTTTAGCATGATACATGTGTTCCTAAATTTTTGATATTCTTAATTGGCCCGGCGTGATAAATATTTTAATATATTTTAAGCGTGATAAATATTTTAATATATTTTAAGAAACAGGTAAGCTTGATTTCAAATACCTAAACACAGAGGCAGGAAATAAAATTTTAATTAGAATTATTTTTAATTAGAAGTATTTCAGTGTCGCGATCAGTGTCTATGATTTCATTGCAATGACATATAATCTCCTTACACCAACGATTATGAAATTTGCTCTATTAGAAAATTAAATTTTTTTATTGTAACTACTCTTATTATATTAAGATCACATCTGCTGTATATTTTATAAATAAAAGGTTTTTCGAAAGCTTTATTATGAATTTTAAATACTTTATCAATACAGACTTTTAGAATACCTGAAAAATTTTAATATGGTGAGCATTTAACCCAAATGTTAAGCTAACAAAGTAATACAACTTGAGAATAATTTTCATATTATACTAACAGTATGAGTTTATAGGCAATAGAAATATTTTGATGAAATATTAATTTTAAAGATGATACAAGACATACGGCTCTTTTTCTGTAGAATAAAGTTTTGTTTTTGATTGTAATAAAGTAAGTATGAAATAGATATAAAGAATTTAAGAAATAATGCAACTTCTCAGCTTAGAGGCGCTGAGCGATAATACAGCTGAATAAAAATGCAAACACATGAAAACACATGACAATAATTCCATAATTCCACCAGAATATCGATTAATACTGACAATAGAGAAAAATTACAATTGAATTTCATGTCTGAAAAATGAGAAAAATAGCAACATTTACTGAAAATATTCAGGAATTTTCTTTAAACTCTTCGATTATTTCCACCATTAATAAGTTTATAACACACTTAAATAGACCTACATAATTTGCAATGGAAATAATTAAATATTCACTACAGTTTAGAAATTCAAATAGGTAGAAACTTAAGAGTAAATATGCTTATTTAATACGGTATCGAAAAAAGGGCATAATAAAGTTAATTTAGCCATCTGCGAAAATTGCTCGATTATGCCCAACACTGACAGTTCGTAAGAATGTTGACTTGCAGAAAAATGATTAAAATTGGTACAGCTGTACTAAATTGTATTTAGAAAGTTTTAACGCAAGGAAAAAGATGATAAAGATAAAATAGAATAAATAGTGAGCTAATTTTCTGCTGTCACAGTGAACGGAGAGAAATGGACTATGTAGGGCTGCAAAAGCTAGAAGTAACTATGCAATCCATGGAACACAGTTATGAAAGGAAGCAGCAGAAATTCAGTGTAACTCAAAGGAAACTTAATAAATATATATATGTATAATATATATGTAATATTTATATATCACAGGCCATCAATAACTATGTGACGAAGTATTCTCTTTTTCTTAAATCGTCAAGCACAACTTCGTCATATCTATGACTAGTTCTGTCAAAATTTAACAAAGCGACTAGATTAATACACATACAGTAGCCTAATTCATGTCCTCAATGCTCCAAAAATTGTAAAACTTATTTAGGCGAAACACACTGGAAATATTATGTCGCGTAGTCTAGTTTCAGCATTTATCCATTTTTTACATTGCGAGAATTCTTGTTTAACATTCTTAAGCATTTTTTAACATTGAAAAACATACGTTTAAACTTCCTCTAATTGAATAAACCTATTTTAAATTTGAAAGCACTTCATGGCGAAGAGGTGTCTCAAAAGGCTCTTCAAAGATAAAAAAAAATACTTATAATAAATTTAAACATTATTAGAAGTTCTTGGTTCCTATGAATATCCATTGTAAAAGCGTTACTTAATACATATGCGTAGAAAGAAAACAAATATTTTACGTAGAAGTAAAATTTGTTTTGTTTCATTCTTGGTTTGAAAGGCATAATATCGTATTTAAAAGAATAGGAGAAAATGAAGAAGATTGAAAACACTGAAGATTAAAATTTAATTAAAATATCAATGCAGTATTCTTTTACTAAATGTTATTGCCACCCAGAAGGATACTTCTACATCAGATTTTCTGTAAATTATTCTCACGTAATTGCAAGAAAATATTTCTTCAACAGCTGTAACATAATTTTACGTTCTTTTAGTATTAAATTATTTTATTTAAAAATTACCATTTTAAAGATGTAAAATACCAGAATTATATTGGGAGGTTTTGAATAAAGTCCCAAAATTAAAGTATAAAAAGTAGCAAATGTTTCAAATTTGCAAGAGCAGGTAAAAATAATGGATTTAACTGTATGTCCATATTTAAAAAATTAAAAAAGTTAAAAGAACTTATGTTAATAATGTAACCTTTATTTATATCACAGTAAAATTCCTTAAAAGTTTACTGTATTAGAAAATCATATCAATTTAAACATGCGCCATTCTCATACATGTGCGTATAAATTTTTTTAGAAGTTCGTTTGTAACTTATAAAAATGTTTAACAACTGCTATTGAAGGTAGGCATATAGGGCAAGCAAAATTTTAAAATTAAAAACAATGAACATAAAAACACTTTCCAATTTTTTATCACTGAATGCTAAGTATAATTCAATTAAAAATTATCCGAGCATTTATATTTTGAAAAGAAAAAGTCATTATATTGATTTAAAAATAGAAAAAGTTACGCAAGTAATTCAGAACTCGTTTATTCTAAATTGCTTTTAAGTTTATCTGCTACTTACTTTACGTATTATTAGCAAATCTAATGATGAATATTTATTTCATCATGCAACAAAAATGTGTCAGAATCTTATTAAATAAAGTTTAATTTTTTGCATACTTAAAGCATTAAAAATCTTTTATTACCCAGCATCACATCATAAATCTTAAATTAGATGTGAAGAGAGACAAAATATATGTGAAATATTATTTCATTAAATGAAAAAAAGAAAGAGAAAACATTTAAAGTATAAAAAAGAGATAATTTTTACAGGAAATATATAAAGCTATTTACATAAGACAGTGTGTAATTTTCTAGAAGGATTTTTTCATTTTATATGACGGGAGATACGAGAGAAAAGAAAATGGGAAGCTCAACTAGGAAGAAGACTTAGCTTGACTTTACACATACGATTCTTCAATATTACTTAGCAAACTATGTCACTAAGTCATTTAACTCAAACAAAAAATTTTTTTGGAAAATCTCCATTCAAATTGAAATTCATATAAATACAGAAGTAACTTTAGGAGCATATTTACATAACTGGGGCATTAATAGTAGAGATAAGTAATTTTCGAAAGCACCTCATGATCTGTGATCGGTAAGGAATTTAAAAAGGCACATTTGCCCCTCGGAGCTAGAATAGGCTCGTTTTAATCTACCGAAGCTGTTGAAAATTTCGGGTACAAATATGAATATTTTGAATTCAATTTGCATTAATTGAAGCGAATATTTACAAAATTTGGTGGACGCGTGTGTGATAAGAGAGAGTATCGACATAAATGAATGTTGTGAAAGTGTACGCAATGATGAAGTAAAACACTTAATACTTTGAAGATAGGTAATAATTTTTAATGAAAGTTTTGATTTTCGGTGGTAAAGTATGTATCACACATTTTAAATTTTTCTAAAATAAAATTCATGCAGTAGTTGTTTTAGCATGAAGATTCTACAATAATTTTCAAGATATAGTTCTTCGAATAGAAATAGGAACTTCAATAACATTTGCAACACTACAAAGATTCTAATTTTACAATGTACAATTATACAGATGACATTATATATCTTATAGCCCGATTATTTAATATTCACATAATGAAAATAACAAAGAGCGAATTTTAAATAACATTTTGATTAATAAAATCACATTCTTTGAAAATTTCGAGTGAGAAATATCAGTTAGGAATTAATGTACCAAAAATGTTTAAAAGAAATGTGAATTACTGTAAGTAAATTATTCCATTAATTAATATTGTGATACTAAGAGAAGACACTCTAAGAATTTAGGCAATTATTTAAGAAAATAATACAATTACATTTAAGCTCTTAATTGCTCTTGCAGACGTAAAACGTGAATGTTAAGTGCGCAGATGCTTCCCTAGAAAACAGTGCATTTAAGTTGTACGCTTAGGCGAAATTTTCTGAAGCACATAAACAAAACTAAGAACAAGTAAAGAAAAATTTTTGGGGAAAAATTAATTATCAATTATTATTACCAATTATAATAATAATCAATTATAATTAATTATTATAATAATTGTACATATTTATAATTGCATCAGACATACACACCGAAGTTATTCCTTTCAAAATACAAACGAATTCAAATATTAAGAAAATTTAAATAGTTTATTATTTATAAACAACAGTTATATTTCATCATTTTCAAACATTTAGTTTTAATTTGAGATCCACTATCTATTATAATGAGTTCAGATTTTCATTATAATTTTAGTTATGTGAAAATAAAGTAACGTATCAGAATTACCTATTACAACATAACTAAGACATTAAAACATATTAAAAATATTAAAGAGAGAACTCACAAACAAAAATAAAAATATAAATTAAGTAAAAGAAAAATATTCCATTAATGAGACCTCGCTCACGACCACACCACAAACAGCAGTAAATGTCAAATTATATGGCATCTCGCAGAGCATTTGTGTGTAAAAAACCAGTCCATATTCATTGTTTAATGCTATTACGTGCGGATATAACGATAATAAGTAAGCGAGGAAGGGAATGAATTCAAAAAGAGTTGACAATAAAAATTTAAAATTGAACCACAGATGCCTCAACGTCTAAATATATATTATGCAGCTCAATAATCACAGTTTCTGATGTCTATGGAATATTTTTTTGGCGAATTAAAAACACAAAGGACAAAGAACGTTTTAAGAATATTAATCTGCTGTTAGAACAGTTTTAATGGTTCCAGCCTAAATATTTTCTCTGCTTGTTAAAATATGGAATGGTCATAAAGTATGTAATCAGAAGCGTCAGAGCAACTAGGTAATTTATAATAATAATACTTTGCCAAGTAATGAAAGTAGGTAGTTGTTTTGTATTTATTCTTGCTGTCAATTAATCAAAATGAGAGGATACGGATTTAAAGTAATTATATAAAAATGAGTTAAAATTTGAGAAATTCTTTAAACAATTGAATGGTTATAATTATGATGGTAGCATATTTGTATTGAAATATAGCTATCGTTTAGGAATATAAACTTGTAGCATGCTATTATACCCAAATCTGCGCCTATATAGTTCTGAGAAGCCATTCAAGTAGCACAATTGTTTCAAATTTTATAGGTTATTCTTTTAATTCATGTAGAATTTATCGTTTATGTTTTAATTTAAAACGCTGTTTAAATACCACAAAAAATCAGTTTTCAGTACTTAAAAGCGCTTTCCAGAGATCAGTGAGTTACTTTAAAGAAAACTTGTGGAACTGTTTTCATTACGTCATTTTCCATATTCTGTTTTGTAGAATGTTTTGCCATTATATTTATCACAAGTTCTCAGCACAAGACATTTATTTGAGTAAATACATAGTTAACAAAATTTAAATAATTTTAAACTTCTTGAAAATTTAAATAACATCTATTAAAGAATTTCTAAAAAATTTAATCCGTATAGTTAAATATACTTCATAATGAACGATATGCTCTTTGAAAAAATGAACTAGAATAGGATTTGTGTAGTCGGTAAGTTTAATAAAAGCCAAACAAATTCCAGAAAAACCAGAAACATTGATTCTCGTGAAGCTATTAAAATCTGCATGTTTAGAACTGGTAGCAGAAAGAGAACACAAGCGCAGCCACAGTCCAATGAAACACGACTTTTGTTTTTGTTTAAAGACCTAAGACATTTTATACCAAGATAAGAACAACATTTTGAATTAATTATCTGTACCGATTAGTTTAATTAAATTAGAAATTAATGTGGGTGATACATCCTTAAGATTCAGCGGTTATGGCGGCTGGCATTTCCGTTGATCCGGATCCATCTGGTTTGATGAGAGTTTCGGCAACAGCTGTTGCTCCTTCTGTTTCACCTTCATCGCCAGATGGTAAGGGACTCTGTAAAAGATAAATACATTTTTACAATTAAAAATGTCTTAGTTAAAAAGATATTTGAAGTGACATATAGCATTTTTGTCATTTCCTAACGTGTTATTTTAAATATGGTATCATTGGAATATGATGCCAGGACTGCAATTAAGTGTTACTTCAAAATACGTGACTGCGATCCGGTAAGATTCTGACAAAATATCGAAATAACACAAGTGTTGAAAGGAGATGAAGTAATATAAATTTTGAAATAAATAAATATAGTAATGAAAGGCTTTCATCTACAGCAAATAGCTATTTCTGCTTTGATGAGAAGACCGTTTTTCAGTTATTTTCAAGCAATCTTCATTGACAGGAAATTTAATCACTCAAAGCGAATTTTACTTGTGTTAGTGATTAGGGATGGTTTTCTGCAGATTCTGTTGAAAGACGCCATTAAAACATTTCAGATAAAAATTCGAAATTAACTACATTTTATGTTCTATTTTTACTTTGTAATGACATACCCGCATAACAGATCGAAGAAAAGCTTTAGTTTGCAATACCCTCTAAAGTTACCTATCTAATCTGACATTTATTTAGGAATAGTATTAAAATCAAAGTTTTTTAAAAGTGACAATAAAGAAGTATTATATCCTGTTACTAAGAAATAAAACATTTTTGTCATTTCATCATCTATCATCATAACATAATCGTTTTTATCTTTACACTTGCTGCTTAACATATCATCTACAGTCTCCTTTTTTATCATCAGATGTAATTAAATATGTGAAACGCGTTTAAAATTATTGAATAGCGAGTGCACCTGCCTCGGCCCTCGCAAATATATATTTGTGGTTATTATTTTACGAATCATGATTGCAAAAGTTTTGTTTATAATTTGAATTGTGTCATTTAATTTGGGCATTTATATAATAATAATCACAGTCGACTTAAAAAGTTTAAAAATGACTGGCTTGCAAAATATTTACCTAGTTAAATTCCTTTGTTAATAAACTAAAATTATTTTAAATTTCAGTTTGGAAAACATCAAAATGAAAAGAAATGACATCAAAATGTTGTGGAAAGAAGGAAGGTTTATTGTAACGGGAATTTTTCAGCCCTGAATTCAAAGAATCTATTAGAACATGGGATCTTTTCCACTTTTATGCAATAACTGTCTAGAAGAAAAAGATTAAGATTTAAGACTTAAAAACTCTTCATTGTTTTTTATTCGAGACATGTCATAGTCGACAATGAAAGGTGAAACGTTTTGTAAGAAGGACAAGACGAGATTATCATAAAAGACTATTAAATTTTGATATATGTCAAATTTGTGCTTATAAAGTCAGGTTTGTGCTTGTTATTAACGATGCTGTTCGTTAACCGTTACTACAATATCAATTTATCTTTAAAAACTAACAGGAAAGGTGTTAACCAAACAAAAACATTAATAATAAGAAAACAGCTTTTGATGCATGTCCCATTAAGGCTCTGGTTCGTGAGAAAGAGTATTGGAATACCATTAAATACATTAATTTAAATCGACATGTTCATTGTATGAAGCTCAAATTCGTGATAAATAACGTGGGTAATTCTAGAGAATGAATAATGAAGCCTATGAGCTCGGCTTACGCTAATTGATTTCAGACTTCAAAGTGGATTTAAGTAAGATGTATATTTAGTTATTTTATTAGGTAAATTCAAACTCGATGCAAAGTATGATATTCGACGGCAATTTGCTGATCTGTGTAGAAGAAAAAAGAAACTGAATCCTTTTTCTTCCAGCTTCCTTCAAAGCTGAAAAACTATGCACAGGAATTCTTCCCTTAATACGATTGATCAAGCCTTGTGAAAGGCCATATTAAATGAAACAGATTAATCAAAAATAGAAATCTTATAAAATATTGCGCTTTGTCTAATTATTTGTTAATATCCCTTTTCTCTTTCAGCTGCTTGCATATAATTAAATGTAATAAAGAACTCAATATTCAAAAACTCAAGACTGGAACTCAAGATTATAATGTTTTTATTATACAATCGAAATTGAAACTTTTTTCTTTTGACGGAATAATGCCAAAGTGCTGTTTTGGTTTTCTTTTTTTAAAAAAAATTTCGTCCTTTCTCACATCTACATTATTAATAATGAACCTGAATATTTATTTCCAGGTTTGGATCCAAATCCGTAGCATGCGTTTTAAACTCTTCAGTTATGTGAACAGGTTTCTAAAACTGCTTCAAGTTCCTTTTCATTTTGAAAGGGTTTTCAAGATTAGTAAATTCATCGCCAAGTTTGTAAACTCGATCGATGTTAGGGAAATCATTATCATTTAGCTCGTCATCAGGTGACTTCAATTATTTCTGTATATTGGTTGAGTCGACGTTACTGGACATTAATATTTGTGATTAGATGATGACCACATCATAATCATTTGACTCACCATAATCACAATTACTTACTGGACTAGAATATATAATTAGATCTTTGAGAAAAACAGAAAACACTGGAAAATATAAGTTGCTCAGTTGTATTTGTAAATAGGTTACTAATGGCCATTCAAAGTAAAATTCACACAGTATTAGCCAAAATCTGTCTTCACAGACGTTCTAAATGGAAACAGCTTTAAGAAAGGAATTCCAGTAATTTGCATCTCCTACTTGCATTGAGAAGGTTTTTGAGCAAAGATCTTATTTTAAAGACAGATTATAAGACTTCCTTAGGTATTAAAAGATAATTTGATCTGACTGTAATCAAGCATACTCTGCTTTATGCTTCACCTACCCGGGAAAGCTGCTTGCATGCAAATGGCATTGCTTACAGAAACTACAGCCTTTTGTGAAAAAGGTGTTCAGCCATGCTTCGAACGCGTCTTTGTTCTCAGACAGTTAATTACATTAGTCATAATAACCTGCTTATTGATGATTTCTACAATACTATTTCAAAATATCCTAAGTCTTCATGAAATACCAGCTTATTCTAATGTTGTTACTGAGATTCTCACTCAGTATGAGCGCCGTGCTGAGATTAAAGTTCAAGATCCGAGAGTAAAATATTGAGAGTGTGAACTGGTCAATAGTTTTTGCTGTACACTGGCGTAATCTTTTAATCTTTGGCTTCTTTCCCATTAGAATTACCAATGTCAAGGTTTAGAAAGATGCTTCTTTTGTCGAGTGATTTGCGGATTATAGAGGTTTTGTTCGGCAATTCCTGCTGCAATGGATATTGTTACGAAATGTACAGGCGCAGTAAGATAGTTTCTCCGCAAAGCAGTTTTAGGGTTGCCATAAAATGGCAAGGAAGGCAGGGTTGCCACATTTGACGACAAAATGGCGTTCATACCATGGACGACATGCCATCCATACCTTCTGGAACGAATTCTTACTCGGTTTAGCCCAGAATGTTCTCGAGCCAAAAGCGAAGATATATAAACCCAGCTTATATGCGGAGAGTGGGTGTAGTATCGAGTTAGTGCCGCCTCGTCTAGAATACGATATAGTGAGTCTCGAGTTAGTCAGTTCGTGCGGAGTCGATCGAGTTGACAGCCGAGCAACGAATGCAGAGTGGGTCGTCGAATGACATCGCGAGTTGTAGCGCGGAGAGTCTCGAGAGTACGTGGAGTTCCAAGAACGACCGAGCAGAATCGGGAGCTGTATTCTGGCCCTTTGCAGTGAAGCTGTCTCCACCGTTTTAGCCTGACAGTGTGAAGGCTGTGTCGCTGATTGTTCCAGCGAGTGTATAGTAGATCTTCGACGAATGTAAAAGTGTTTTGGAGCTGTCCTGATCAATATTGGTAATAAAGTGTGTTTCGATACTTCATCAAGTGTCGTCGTTATTCACTCCAAATCTATGAGCCCCGTACGAACGTGAAGGAAGATGATAATGTAAAAACTAGTGTCAGAAAAGAAAAACGCAACAATATTGATAAACAGAGACATTATTTGATGATGTTGGAAATGAATATGTTAAAAATGGGCATATGAAAATGGACATGCGAATAGATATAAATTTCGAACATTTTGCAGGTAAAATATACACTCTAAATTCTTAGTCTATTATTATACAGTAACGAGATACGATTAGCAATTTAAACCACTGAACCCTTAAATTCAAGAAATGTGAGAAGCGTCACCATAGAAACATGAAGTGGGAACGTTTAAAAAAACGAAAGAAGATAAACTGTTATGGTGACATTCAGTACGAAAAATCCTATTACGTTTTCTTTATTTATTTACTCGTTTTTGTACAGCATATTTTGCTCTCCCTTTTAAGGCATTATGGTTTCAAGAGTATCTTACATGTCTCAGATTGTTCATTTACTTTAGTTACAAATATGTAAAAGAGGATCAGTAATAAGTGTAGCAACATTAAACCAGATCGGAATAAAAACTGAAATTCCCCCCCCCGAAAAAAAACAGCGAAAATTATGGTCAGATTCCTCAGTTCTCACAAACATATAAAACAGCTATACAGCTATTTCATTATTATTGGCTTTCATCCGAATTAGCGAGAATATGCAGTTTATTGCACCTTAGCAGTAATTAGAACCATATACATTACCACATTAAAAATGACTGCATAAGCTTCTTTGCAAGACTAATGAAAGCGTTTGTATCACCCGTTGCGCATGTTATAGTTGAATTTCAAATGGAATACTACCGAATTCAAAATAGCACTTACGGAGCAGCGTTATTAAATAATATTTAGAAGAATTCCGGGTAGTCAGAGTTACGGAGAAAAATATTTATATTATTTTATTTAAACTGTCTGGCTTACTACTAAGCATCTCTTGGCGCCGCGGAAAAAAAAAGGAACCAAATGAACTCTTTAAGCGCCTGGTGATTGGAAAACTAAGAAAACTTAGACCAAATTCCATAAATCATCAACAGAGTAAAATAAAGTTTATGAAATCAACGCTCATACTCTTCAAGTCAATAATGAAAGGATAATATCCTCCCTCGTGTTTTGGTAAAATCAAAAGATTATTTATCAAAGAAGAATGTGAAACTGCATTTCCGTAACAAAATCATCA